ATAGCGGATACGATGGCTGTATCTAAGATTTGGCTAAAAATCCAGTTTTGTAAAGAAAACCCTGGTTGGACAATACCAGAGATGTAGTCACCATAGCGACCAGAAAGTAAACAATGATCAGGGCTTGTCTAATTTGCACAATGTTAATGTCAAGACAACTCAAATTTTTGCATTTGTGTGGCACCATCCGTATGTGAAGGCCTGACCCTGACAGACATCAGAAGCAAAGCAGGACAGGGCCTGGTTAGTTCTGTGATGGGAGACCTTTGGGAATATAAAGGTGCCACAGTGGGACCACCTGCAAACATATATGGGCAAAACTAGTGTTGCGTCCTTAGGTAAGACACCTTATTCACATGATGCCTAGTATGTGTTTAGAGGGGAGAATGTCACAAACTTGCCTCCCGTCAATCTGCACCGGGGCAGCTGTTAACCACCACAATGCACAGAGTAATAGTCTGAGTTTTTTGTTTTGTTTTGGATTCAACCACAACTGGGTCAAATATCAAAAAGATGATTTGAAAAAAAAATAACTATAACTCCTCATTACATGTCAGTTCACATTTTAGAACAGATTCAATTAAATGGTTGTTTTCCTGACATAATAGACTTAAGAATTAAGTATAACATGCCATAGTATATCAATACCATCGATGCTGCAATATACTGTGATGAAGATAATTGAAAATCATATCAGGGGCCACTAAAAATTGTCTTGCGGGCTGGATTTGGCCCACAAGCCTGAGTTTGACACGCCTGGTCTATTTCATGACATCACAGAAGTTCAGCATTATTTCCTATGACTTTTTGAACATGTTCATTGCCTTTTTGTTGCACACTGCTCAAATCTGCTCAATAGCATCAATATTTACCAGGGGTTCTGTCCAACCGAGAAAAGTAACCCGTCACATGCACTTGAAGTGTCTGGTTTTCAAAGAAGTGACTGCTGGGAGTGTTGGGGACAAACCATGACGTCAGAAGTGACACTGGTCTGAAAACAAAAGCTCTCTGTGGAGGAACGAGGGATGAGGCGTGGTTTTGAGAGGACACAGTCTCTTCTCAGCAGCCGCCCCGACCTCTGGACGTCTCAAGACTATCATGACAAAGAACATTTAGTTGTGGGTTTGTGTTTCCTTGTCTGAAAAGTCCCAAATATACACAACGGTGACATAATGTGAAGCATGAAAGCTGACTAAACGCAATGATGTGAAATCCCTCCGCTGAAGAATGCAGTGTGGAGGTGGAGTAGGAGGAGAAGCGGGGCTCACACAAGCTCACAGACTGTGTAACGGAGGTGATATATTATACAGTCTATGTATGAATGCAACAACACACAGATCCAATGGAGAGATTGTTTTTGTGTTGTGCATATTTATGTAAACACATTTTTCTGTCCACACCAAGGTCCACTGTCCATCATTACTGCTGTTGGATGAGAGAAGACATAGATGATTACGCGCAAATGGTGGAAGAAGTATAAAAAACATAAATATATCAAATGAAAATAAAATGAAATCTTAATCTTAAGAACCTTTAAATGTGTTTTTTAGCTAATAAAAGTAGAAAGTATAGGCCTGTCACAATAATTACAATTATAAATATATCCTTAATTTCATTTTATGACATTTTTATCCGGACAATGCGCTATTGCATTGTGCATAAAGCAGTTACTTGTACAGGACTGGATCTTGTAAAGTTCAATAACTAAAGGCTGAAAAATAGTATCCGCACTCTTTTCAATGTACTGTGTTTTTACATTTTATCTGTATTATTTTGTATAGGTTCTTTTGTTTTGTAATGCACTTGTGTATGAATTGTGCGATACAAATAACCTTACCTTGCCATGGACAAAAATATTTAGGTCCTTTTTATAGAAGCTGTATCCTACTTTTGATTTGTTTCAGCACCTTTTAATTATACCAAATAACAATGGCTTATATTGTAAAATATTGTAATGGCACCAGTGGCACAAAGTCCACATGTAAAACAATGTGTTTTTGTGACAGGCTGAGCAGGAATCTTTTACACTTGATACTTGTTTCACCATAAAGGTCTATTTCACATTTGAAACATGAAAGTAAATAGTAAATAGTAAATAGAAAGTAAATAGTCTCAATGTCATTTTTCTACACCAGAACACTGCCTTTTTTTGGTCTTCATAACTTTGTGACTTTTTTTTCTGTATCCACATGTATTTTGTTTACATGAAATTATGCTTATGAAATAATGTTGATCCTCGACTGATCCTAGACTAGTTCAGAGCAATCTCAGCTTGCAGCCAGATCTGGTTACCATAGCAACACACTGTATACTTGCATCAGGTTAACAGCTCTGTGGTATTTCAGTTATGTTAACCAGTTGCATCAAGTATTGAGGATTGTTTTTTGTTTTTTTAAAACTGTATCAATATACTAAATTGTAATAAAAGTAGTGAAAAACTGAAATTGTTTTTTGGGAAGGATGTTTTCAGAATTCTAATAATTTGAATGGGAGCCGTCAAAATGACTGCTTTGAGAGCTTCAATATTCTGGGAGTCATCAAATTTAACATGGCCAAAACCTGGAGCGATCCAGTCTCAAAAACAGTAGTGAGTTTACTTTGAGTCATTATTCGAACGCAGCCCTATAGTCTTGCGGGATGTGCAAATAGTGGACGAGCATCAGTGCACTTGTATGGGATAAGTGCACACAAAAGACACCTGTCCCGACTGAAGCTAGAGACAACAAATTCAACAAAAGGCGAGTGTGCTGCTCCCAGCCTGCAGGGCCCGCCGCAGCATCACCCATTCACCTGCTTATTCAAGCTTTCATACACAGGCCGCTTCTTTAATACACAGGCCGCTTCTTTAATTGTGTGCATGTGTTTGAAATGGGGGAGGGGGATTTTTCTCCACAGCAGATAAACAGGAGGACAGGTGACTATGGCTCAATATTTCAACTGCATCTAGTCAGTGGAGATGAGGAACTGCCACTTTTATTCCCTGGTCAGTTCTCGAGCTCTGCCTCCATCTAGTGGAGAGTTTATGCTCCGCACGTCATGACAAAGCACAATAGATCAGGACTACACAGGAGGTGAAGCTTGGGAAATGGCAATGTGATATTACAATGTGAAACTAATACATGTTTTAGACTGATTGCATACGAGTGAGGTATGTGAAGAGTTCATTTGCAAAAACTATTACAAATAAATGTTCCTTACCGTTTTTTGAAAAGCCAGATCATATTTTAGTGCAACACAAATTTGTTGCACTGAATTCACCTTTTCTTGGGCAAAGCCTTTCAATTTTACAGCCAATAACACGTTTAGTAGAGGAATATAACACTTTTTCTAAACAGATGTCTGTTTTTTTGCAAATTAGCTCTTCATATCAAGTCATTATTTGTTATATTTGTTAACATTTTGAAAATTGCAAAAAAAACAATACTCCTCAACTGGAAAAAAAAAATCAAAGTCAACACTTCACAGTGGAAAGATCTCCTCCTAGAACACTTATCCTTTGAACAAACATCCACCAATCACAGAATTACTGAAACACCCAGCAACTGGAACAAACTCATACTTTATCTTACAAATTAACTAATTGCATTGTCACTGTTATTATTATTGTTACGATAATTTGAATTGTTATGATTATTATTATTACTTTTATTTTTTATTTTCTATTTTTATTTTAATGTTAATTTAGTTTTCATATTATTATTATATATTATTGTTATGATTATTATTGTGGATTTATCTTATTTTTTTCTCTCTTTATTTTTGCTCACTTGTGTTATTATTTTTATTGTTTTTTATTTTTATTATTATTATTATTATTTTTTTTTTTTTTTTTTTTTGTTCGTATAGTTTCTGCTTAACTATTAATATTATAAATTATATAATTAGTATTTACACATACAAGATATATCATATTTGAATATGTAGAATAAGCAATGGGGAACGGTGATGGTGAGGAAGCAACAATAATAAGTAATATTGTTTAATTTAATTAATACACATTGTATGATAAATATATGGACTCCTCCCACAAGCATCCCAGGCACATGCCTTTTTAATGCACAACACCTCACGCAGATATTTTTCTTTTTAATACACCACACAATCACAGACAAACTATTGAGGAAAGCTGTCGGAAGAGTGCCAGTAATAATGCTACTGTTAAGGACGCTAGTATGGTCATAATTATTATCTTCATCATCGCCATTGTCGCTATTGCTGTTATAAAAAAAAAAAAAAAAAAGAGGTTTTGTATATATATATATATATATTTTTTAATTGTCTTTGTTTTTTTTTGTTTTTTCTATTATAAAAATATAAAGTAAATAATAAGTAACACACAGACACACACACGCACAAACATGGAAGACTCCCCCCCCTTCCCCCCCATGTATGTATGTTCATGTTGTTTTGTTTAAATAAAAAAAAAAAAAAAAAAATCTGCAACAGGCCCGTGAAGAAGACAAGCGAACATAATTTGCGCAGGGTCCGTTTGTATTTGTTGATAGGCTAGGGAAGTGTTCTATTGCTGAATGATTGACATGTATAAGTAGCAAATACAAAAAGGGAGCGGATCCCTTTCTCAAATGGGTCTCCCTCCCTGTGGGTTTCCCTAAAAAAAAAAAAAAAACATTTTGAAAATTGACTCCAAGCCACAATCATAAACATTGCAACAAGGGATTGACATGTCCCTTTGCATGTAGTTTTTATCATATCTTGGTTTCATATTTTTCATTTTCCAAAGATAAAAAATAAACAATGAAAAAAAAATCAGTTATGAAAGATCTTGTGGAAAGAAACAACCACCAAATCTTCACTTTTTTAAACAAAGTGTTTAATAGCACAATATTACAATGGCAAGACAACCATTCAACAGGCAAATAAAAAACATTGAAAGTAGGTATAGGTTTCAGACATCACCAACGTTTTTCCTTTTTTTTAAATCATTGATTACTGAACCTTTAGTTACCGCAATAGTCTCTGTTCTTGGAATCCTGATCCATTTATCCATCGAGTAATTTCAAAATGCTTTCCCGTTCCTTCAGTGCTTTCCAGGCTTGGTCCTTCTCCTTTTTGCTTGGAGTGCGTTTTTTTTGCCGAGCTGCCATGATTCGTCGAAAAGCCTCCATGACCTCATTGTCTGCCACTCTGACGCGCTGCCTCAGCTCCTGTTTGCGCATCTCTTCCTTCGCCAACCTAGAATCAAAACGTTAAAATAGAAATGTTATCAATTATTCCAACGTGTAAGGTTTAACATTTATTCATGTCCGTCAGTTCGAGAGGCTGTTCTGTAGGTCTGAATAATCCATAAACATGCAACAAACTTTTCCTTTAAGATATGTACTGGTTCTGTAAATTGTACATTTGGAAGCTGTTGTGAATATTTTACTGTATTTGCTTGTGAAATGTATTTAATCTACCATCTGGAAGAAAGACCAACAAAAACTAGCTTATTGACCCATCTGGGGCCAGTTACGTTTTTATCATCATTTAATATGCACAGTCCCACTGAAATAAAAGGGTGAACTGGGAACAGACTGTAGACACAGCTTCGCCCAGGGTTGGTCAAGTCAAAAGTATAGCCCTATTAAGCCCTTTTTAATGCAGTTTAAGGAAAATGCAATGTCATCATCGCAGTAATGAAACGCTACTTTATATTAAAGCCATTTGTACGGCCATAAACAAAACAACTCTTATTCTCTAAATATCCATACTCTGAACATTGTACATTGGGGTGACCTTGGTCTGTAAAATGTGCTTTATGAATACACCTTACTTACGTACTTATTCATGTAGCTACAGTACATTTTATTATTAATAATTAAAGTAATTTTCATGATAACTGACTGAAAATAACTTTGTTCAAACAAATATATTTGCCGGTGTCATATTTAATATTTTCAGTCTCATGAAATCATTTGTCATTTCTGCCTTTTATTCTTCTTCTGGGATTTGTGAAGAAAATAACTACACTTGATTCTATTATCACATTCTTTAGAAAGAGTGGAAAATTTTTACACAGTCTCAATTATGAAAACAGAATAAACCTTTTTTTTGAACAATGAAACAACACACACCCCGAACATTACTAATGTTTGTATGTCTTGAAGGGGCAACATTAAATGCGCCGTCTCCCTGATTTAATGCCCATTTTTCTCACATTTCATAAAATGTAAAGGTTTTCAAACTTGGCAAACAAAGGTCAATGATTTGAAGACTCCGTGGTTACCCTGAGACCACAGGATGGAACATAGACACTCACCGCAGCAGCTCCTGTTTGCGAGCTCTGTTGTGAGCACTCAGGGCCTTGAGTTCAGTCTGTCTCTTCTGGAGCTCAGCCAGAACCTCATCCTCAGTGTCGCCTGCAGGCCCTGGTCTCTCCTCAGAGTCCAGCAGCCCCTGGGCAACCAGCTCCTCTTTGATCCGGGCCTCCAGGGATCGTGTATGGGGAACACTGCAACACAAGGCCAATGGACTTACATCAGCTTCAATCCCACAGCTGTACATTTAAATGCACTTTATAACGTCTTGGTATGTATTAGTTTTAGTCCAATGCGTCAAATGCCTACTTTTTAAAAGATCAGGTCATACAGTAAAGGTCATACTCCACAGTCTACAAATACACCTTGAACTTTAGTACATTTGTATTAAGCTGTGGAGAAGTTTGAAGCATGGTTAGGGTAATACAAACATTTCCTAAGCTTCAAATAAAGTAGTGTAAGTAAGGTGGCTCAAAACTAACTACTCATCACCCTCAGTGCACCTTCTCCAGTGTCAAATATGGTGTCGGCAGAAACATGTTATGGGGCTGCTTTTCTTCAGCAGGGACAGGGAAGAGTGTCAGATGGATGAAGTATTTCACAAGACAAAAATCTGGGGATTCCACATAGAATTAACTCATGCTGTCTTATGTTTACTTTCGCAAACCACACTTTTCAGTTTTACATTTTTAAAGAACAAAATTATGCATCATTGTACCTCCACTTCATGATTGTCTTTGTTATTGTCTTTCACTAATATATAATAATAATGCATCGGTTTTATATAGCGCTTTTTTGGACACTCAAAGACGCTTCACATGTCATTATTCATTCACTCCATACACGGTGGTGATAAACTACTACTGTAGCCACAGCTGCCCTGGGGCACACTGACAGAAGCGAGGCAACCAATCTGCGCCATCGGCCCCTCCGACCACCGCCAACCATTCATACACACATCAGACTCATTCTAGGCAATGGGGGTGAAGTGTCTTGCCTAAGGACACAACGGCAGTTTGGCACTCTACAGCCGCCCCACTGTGGCTGGTGTTCCCAGAGGTTAAGTGTCTTGCCAAGGACATGCCCTAATATGTATATCATATATATATATATTTGCAAGGCACTGTAATATTATATATATTATACACACAAAGTACAAATACAAAATGTGCTTTCAATAAATATAACCGGTTTATTTTAAATACTGGGTTATTATAAACGTAGAACATGCAGGAAATAATAATTGTTGCCAAAGCTTTATCAGTTTCCACAGTATTATTTCATATAAGCTCACCTGAAAGACTTTCCTTGGCTGCGAGGAGAAGTTCCAGCTCCATCTTCCTTCCCTGTAATATCTGGAATGGGAGAATCCTCCATAGGGGATATAATGTTCTCCTAAAAGAATTACACAGCGTCTTTAGCATGGTGTCTGTGCGTAGAGTAAATTCAAAGTATGTTGACATTACCTCGACGAGAGCCTGCAGCAGGCGTTGTGTGAGCGGGCCAAAAGGACAGCCATCTTCAGGAGAATCATGCTGGGATTCGGACTTTTTGAGCAGCGAGTCAACGTCTAAATAAGTTGATAGAAAACATTTGTACATTTCTCCATTGAGACATCAATAAAGTTGATCTTATCTTTTCTTATTTGACACGTCACCAAAAGTGCTTATGACTGAACATGCAGAATAGTTTTACCTTTTGCATCGAGCTCAGATAACGGCCCTCCCATCACGTTTTTCTTCTTATCATTGGCTCGCGTCCCTTCTCTTTGCTCCTCCAGCAGATCCTCCTGAGCCCACCTCTGAGAATAGTGTTTTCCCAGGGCAGGAATCTAAACATAACAAAAATAAACAAAAATCAATGCTAAAGAAACACAAAACTTCTGGATCCATTGTGTATTTTTAAGAGCCTTACTTTGAAATACTCTGCTTCATCCTCCGGTGGTTTAAGAAGTTCCTCCAGCAGTCGGATCTCTTCATTTGTTATATCTGCACAATAAGGCTCCACAGATGCCCAGAATCTATAATTAATAGTTTAAGATTATACAATGTTATTTGTAATCAATTCAACACCAGCTTCAGAGTGGATTGGAATAGGCCTACCTGTTTGGGGCATCGTTTTTGGGAACGCGAGGAACTTCCTGTGGCTCTTCTGTAAACTCATACTCTTGAACCTTAGCCTGGATGTTTTTGGACTTGGGTCGACCAGGGCCAGGACCCGGGACATGGCTTCCTTTGCCTTCCAACTTCGGCTTTTTTGGTTTATGGCGAGATGTGGCAGCAGGATCAGGGTCTTTACCGAGCTTCAGAAAGCGCTTGTCTCCTTTCTTGTCTTGCCAGTCTGTGAGGATCTGCAATAAAGAGGGATAAGAAAAAAAAAAATTCTGTTATGGTATGTTTCTAACATATACGCTGAATTTTATTTATGTTTCTTAATTTGAGAATATATGATAGTATTGAAGCCAAAAGAAGTTGGAACAATGTTTTAAGTCTCATCGTAAAATATTAAAAATATTTTTATCGTATTTTATCGTTTGCATAAACTTTGTCTAACCTGTCTCTGCTCCTCCAGTGCTCTCAGGCGGCGGCTGGCTGAGGACAGGAGGGTCTCCAGTTCCAGCTGCAGAGTGTCCAGTTCTTCGATCCCAATGCCATCATCCTCTGAGCGGCTGAGCACAGCTGTGTAACGCGGACACACTTTCAGGTGTTCCACAGGCTTGAAGTCATAGTACTTCAGTGGGGGGCAGTCCTTGAGTTCACTCATGGTGCTGGCACTGGATGAGGGATACCTGTGTGGTTTTAAATTTAGCAAATACAAGACATGGCATATAAAGAGTTAATTATATATTAGGGCATTTGATATTTAGTCAATCAAGTCAATTAATTAGCAGATGGAGTCTTAGTGAAAATCAAACTGTTTTATTATTTGACAAATTAATACAAGATTGTTTTATGTGAAAACGGCAGCAATGAGAAGATAATGATTTCTTCGCGTCTTTGGACGTTTTTCTTCTAAATTGTAACGTCGCGTAGATGAGTGGTTGTTTATAAGCGTCTGCTTCATCTGACCCCTTTTTAAAACATGTATGATGGTATGTTTATTTTTTCGGTCGATTTGAGCTGTACGTAAACATTTCAGAGCATTTGTTGCACCCCGTATTTAGACGACTAATCGACTGACAGGGCTTGTGTTTTGTTGACCAAGAATGTCTTTGGTCGACTATATGGATATAATAGACCTACGCTAGGATTCACACACAACATTCACGCACACTCACGAACACACCATAAATACTGCAATGATGCTGTGGGCCCCAAACCGACCCAAAATCTTTTTTTTACTAATAAACAGGTACACCTCTTACTGACGAACAGTTCCAACAAATATATCATAAACTAAGACGTACATTTGTAAAATTATTGAATTTGCGAATGTTTCGAAGAGACGATTACCGTCAGTGAGTGGCGTCCATGTTGGAATATACCATTCTGTTGATGAAGGGGAGGACCTTGTTACTATTAGCACAGATACAACATCGAAGACATTAAAGATGACAAGTATATAACTACAACCACATTTTTATGCATGCGTATGTACTTAAATACACTCAAAACTGCTCACTTAGTGCATACATATGAAAATAATCTATCAGAAGGATTCCACATCAGTGGTTTAACCAGAACAAACCATTGAGCGTCGCAAATAAATTATGTATTAACATTGTTTTATTCTTTCAGGTCCTTCTAACATCCAATGGTATCACTTGCACAGTTTTAAATTCAATACAATAACACAAAAAACAGCTCTGAACTTCAGAAAAGTCGTGAAAAAACAAACAAACGCACTGATCATGTTGGATTTACGGAAGAGCGGTACCAGGCGTGGTCAGTGGAACTTCCGCCTTCTACAGCTGCAAAATGGTAATGTAGAGCTCTGTGCTGCTTTTCTCAATTTGTGATCTATAGCGCCTGAATCTCTTCTAAATGTTGATATTGTGAATAGCATATAGTTGCAGATGTAGTGTGTGTGGTAATGTGTGTTTATTGCGAAGTTTTGACGTCTTGCAAAGGAGCTAGACCTCTTGTGTTGTAAAATTATTGTTTATTATGTTTACATTGATATTCAGCAAATTGTTTTTTCAGTAATACTTAAAACATTCATATTTTGATGTTATTTGAAGGAGACATAAAGCATAACGTTTGCAATTTTATGCATTCAATTGTTGCTTGCAGCACCTTAATAATAACTATATGCTAAAATCTAAAACTTTATAAGCGACGCTTAAGTTATGTGGAAAAAAGGCATTAGAATGGGTTGAATAAGATAGACGAATAGAAGACTGTGTGCATAGTTTGTGTACATCTGGATTGCTGAAATCATTTGGGGAAATGGTCATTCTATAAAAATAATAAAGGTTGTAACACTGGCCACTTCCTGACTGCTTTTTTGTGCAGACAGCGACTCTTCGTCCATACTTGAATGCTGTCAGGGCCACTCTGCAGGCGGCCCTCTGCCTGGAGAACTTTTCCTCCCAAGTGGTTGAGCGTCACAACAAGCCTGAAGTCGAAGTCAGGTATTCCTCTCTGCAGGCTGTTCACACATGTACAGACCTGTCCAAACTTGTGTAGGACTCTCAAGGGTATGACACAAGCATGGGCAGAATGAAGCATGTGCATGCCATTACAATTTATCTATTCTATCTATCTATTTTTACCCTGTTAAATGAGATTTGACTGTTATATACTGTATAGATATACAGTTAAAGTGCTTAAGCGTTTACACCCTTTGGCAGAGAAAGATATTCACTGTCAGTGGTTGTGTGCAGCCATTTATGAACAAACAAATGTGTTATCTATTATATCAAAAAATCAAAAAACATCCAAGTGACCCTGATCAGAAGTTTCCATCCCCCAGTTCTCAATAGCTTGCATTGCCCTTTAAACGTCTATGGCAGCTTGGAGTCTTTTGTGGTAGCTAGTAATAATAATAATAATAATGCATCGGTTTTATATAGCGCTTTTTTGGACACTCAAAGACGCTTCACATGTGTCATTATTCATTCACTCCAAACACGGTGGTGATAAACTACTGCTGTAGCCACAGCTGCCCTGGGGCACACTGACAGAAGCGAGGCAACCAGTATGTGTCATCGGCCCCTCCGACCACCACCAACCATTCACACACACACCAGACTCATTCAAGGCAGTGGGGGTGAAGTGTCTTGCCTAAGGACACAACGGCAGTTTGGCACTTTACAGCCGCAGCCGCCCCACTGTGGCTGGTGTTCCCAGAGGTTAAGTGTCTTGCCAAGGACACAACGACAGTAGTCAGTGGCAGTCGATGGTGAAAGTCTTGAGCGGGGCTTGAACCCACGACCTTCTGGCTCAAAGGCCAAAGCTCTACCAACTGAGCTACTGCCGCCCGCAGGGCAGTAGTAGGGCAACACGGGGGCTGAGTGGATAGCACTTGCCTCAGCAAGAAGGTCCTGAGTTCGAATCCCGGTCGTAACAGGGCCTTTCTGCATGGAGTTTAAATATGTTCCCGTGTCCGGATAGGGTGCTCCGGTTTCTCCTACCACTAAAAACACGTACAATAGGTATGAATGTAACGAGTGAGTGAATGGACGGTGTTTGGCCAGAGGCTTTGATGGTCCAGTGGCGTCTCGCTCCCGTCATCACCATATGTGGAGAGAATGGAACAATATCTGAGCTCTGAACATTGTGAAGCGCTTTTGGTGACCTTGGATTGTAAAAAATGCACTATATAGATAAATAGATAAAGATTACTCACTTGCTACTTGCTAGTTGTGGATGAGGTCCTTTATCCTCTCTGATGATAAAGCTGCCCATTATTCTTGGTGCAAAGGCTCCAGTTCCTGTAAATTCTGGGCCGTCTTGCATAAACTGTACATTTGAGATCTCCACAGATCAGCTCAATTGTTATCATTTGATAATAGAAAGCATGTTAATTTAGATAATATATGGCTTCACAATCACCAGCAATTAATGACATAAAAGTTGTTGTCATTGAGACTCTCCAAAACATGGCCAAAACAATGAAGCACAACTGTAGCTACAATGTTGTGCTCATTTTTTGAACAAACCTGATTAACTATGAACTTACTTGTTTTTTTCTGACCAAAGAAGCAGCAAGGAACTTCTTCTCCAGCCTGTAGTCATCAGCCGTAATGACAAAGAGAAGGTTTTTATAGAAGGATCTATTAATTCTGTCAGAGTCAGCATTGCTGTTAAGCAGGTAACTACTCAGTGTGCAGAGTGAGCTTTTATCCTGTTTGTGTTTGCTATTTGTAATGACGGTTTTGTCCTTCCTAGGCTGATGAGATCGAGAAGATCCTTTGCCATAAATTCATGCGCTTCATGATGATGAGAGCAGAAAACTTTTTTATTCTTCGGAGGAAGCCAGTTGAGGTGAAAGCATGAGGAAGTTACAAGTTATCTCTGCCAAAACTTTTGAACTATTATACTGAGAAAAAGCTGACATCATTTAAAAATAGCTTTTTCAAAACTGATTTTCAGGGGTACGACATCAGCTTTTTGATCACCAACTTCCACACAGAGCAGATGTACAAGCACAAACTGGTGGACTTTGTCATCCACTTCATGGAGGAGATTGACAAGGAGATCAGCGAGATGAAACTGTCGGTCAACGCCCGCGCTCGAATTGTTGCAGAGGAATTCTTAAAAAATGTAAGTTATTGTTCTGCTCATAATTTATTCAAATCCTAATACTACTAAAGGTCAAAAACCCAGGTGGGATTTGTATTAACAGCAAAATCAAATATTGATATGGTTTAGGGCTATATTTATCCATTATTCTTTATATTATTATTTATTATTAATCTTTATTAAGGACACAATACAATCAATTAGTTTGTTCATTTGATTATTGAAATAGTTGTCAACTTTATAGTTATTTATTAATCACAATCAATCAATTCACTCAATTTAATAATGTTAATAAACTTGCTCTCTACAAGTTCATTACTCTGATGCGGGGCACCACTACGCTTGTCTCCAAGCTGCATTTACCTTATTGAGATTTTACATATTTTTAATCAATTAAAAAAACCCTCAGAGATCCACATATAAGTAGGTCTTGTGGCAACTATTTTTATATGAGGTTATTAAAAGTTTTAAATAAAGAATCAATCTCTGAAATTGCAGACATGAATCATTCTATTCTGTGACTTTGTGGCCACAATGCCGACAATGAGAAACTTATACTTGAACACATCAGAAATGTGCCGTCACAAAAAGTTGCACTGTACTACTAGTTGAACATTTTAAAAAGATATTTAATTAAATGTTTTTACTTTTTCATAATTTCATTTAATTTATGTACATTTTAAAACATATTGGGACTGAAAATGAGTGCAGATTATATGTATTCCATCACTCTGGATTTAAGATTCTACATGGTCTTTAATTCCCCCTTTATGTGGGTGTTTGTTGCTTTTGTCTGGTTGCTGTATTTAAAATGTTTTGTTAACGCTGTTATTGTCTATCTTTCAGTTCTGAAGCTGCCATTTTCCAATGATGCACAAGGGGCCAAATCTACACACTAGCGGAGAAGTGCAATGGAGAAGGGCCAGTGTGTTAGAATATGAGGAAAACTCAGCTACAATACTGAGATTTGTCTGTCTCCAGCAGTTTCCTGTACTCATGATTATCACTGACTGTATATAAGGAAATCTTTAGTTGTTTCATTTTTACTTGGAACAAATCCCCAAGTCAAAGGCGGGTCCTTAATAAGTATTATTAAAGTTGATTGTCATGTTTACAGGGTTGTTGAGGCTATGTACATTGAAAATGGCCAGTTTTTTGTATTGTCTATTATATCGACTTTGTTGTATTTTTCCAAAAATGTCAACATGAAAAACATTGTGCAGTTATTGTCAAAGAACATTTCTGCAATCCTTCCAAAATCTGCAAGTTCACAATAAAGTCAAGTGTTTGTAACTTTTTGTTTGCAATATCAATGTGTTCGAAGGATGTGGTAAATGTCCACTGTTCCATTTCAGACTCAGTCACTCACTACAGGAACTGAATCATACGTGTGTCCGGAGAAAAAAACATTTGTCTTTACACAAAGGTTCAGCTGTACTGATAAGGTTATCATATTTTCACCGTTTAATTGAACCATTTATAACAAAATGAAAACACTTAATTATGAAATATATAACAACCAACAAAAACAAACAACTACTTCTCAAAATTAATCACCCAAAACAAAAATACTTCTAAAGTCCACTTCTCAACCATTGAAAGAGCTCTTGGGTATAGCAGTGGCTCTGGGATCTTTGTCTTGCTGAAAGACCCAGCCAAGTTGGATCTGCCTTGCTGATGGATGGAGGGTTTTCTCTAAAAATCTCATGATGCATGGCCCCATTCATTCTTTCCTGTTCACGGATCAATTGTCCTGGAAAATCGTCCCCAAAGTCTGTTTCCATCCCCATCCTTCACAGTAGGTATGGTGTTCTTTGAATGCAACTCAGCATAGTTTCTCCTCCAAACACGACTTGTTGAGTTTTTACTAAAAAGTTCTATTTTGGTTTCATCTGACAAACATTTCATCTAGCAAACTTCGGACGGGCCTGGACCATGGATCTATTATATTATGTTCTGGCTTAAGCAGGGGGCAGGGGCATTGCATCCAAAGAACACCAGAGAACTAGTTACATTAGGTAACAGATTTCCTTGGACGTGGACTGGATGCATATTCCCTTGTCTCTCAAGATGCATTTGGATGGTATCGGGGCTGTTCCATCAGGTGTAAACTACCTCAAGAATAGAGGATGTTGTGGGTTAAAGGGAGCATCCTGAAAACACTGTGGGAAAGACAGGATCTCCAGGTGAGTCACCTCACAAGGTCCGGTTGTGCATGCACAGACCTCGTATTCAGGGATCGTTTCTGTTCCTTCTTTTATAAACTCATGCTGGCAATTATAAACACTTCTGTTACAGCATCCCTTTCCCAGGGACATTTAGTAGGACAGTTTACTATGCTGTCCTGTATTCATCTATGTTTGTGCTGCTTTTCCTGTACCTATTATGCCCAGACAAGTATAAAACATTTAATGGTAAACCCATTCAGAAATAATAATCATTCAAATTCACAATGACTAAAATGTAATATGTACATGCAGTTAAAACTATCACTGTATCAACACCTTATCAGTACCACAATATAGAACACTGCTTATGTGCCTGGGTCTTTAAAACAATGGATTATTTCGATGTAGATTGTCCAGAGGTGGAGGAGACTCGTACACTTGGCCACAAAGAGGAGCAGATAAAAGCACAGATCCAGGGCCAAGGGCAGGAACCTCAGAAGTGAGGAGGGACAGTCTGCAGTGCGTCCTTCGTTGTTCGGTGGATGTTCACATTCTATAAAGAAAGCCACAAATTTACTGTAAGATTCTGTGGACATAGAAATCCTTGCATTTTAGAGACATTTAAACAGTTGTGGCACATTAGAGCAAACATTTATAATGAGGCGTTTTCTTTATGAACGCACAAACAAAATGCAGCAGATAACAAATACACATAGAACAGACCTCAATATTCAGAATCAAGTCTATATACAAATAATTGGACAAGGAATCAATATTGTAGCACTGGTTAACTAGTTTATTTGGACACACACTGGTTAGACAACTATTACTTTTACGCACAGACAAACACGTCTCAAGTTCTGCAGGGTTGAAAAGTTAACAATACAAAAATAACTTTCCTACTTCTAATACAAAAAAGACAGGCATTACATGTGAGTTTAGATTAAAAGAATAACGCAACAGAGCAAAAACATTTTAGCAAGAATGAGACACTGTTATTTTCAACTAGAAATGATTTAGGCGTCTTCAGGATATGGGGAAAAAAACTGCACTTGACACAAAAACTGTGTCACTATTTGATTTAGAAAAAAAAATCAGGATCAACTGGATTCCAGTCATTTACAGCCATCATCACAGCTTCAATAACAAAATGGATTGTATTGACAGGCGTTGCTCAGTCTGGCAGGTGCATAGTGCGTCTGATTGCTTTAGTGAGGTGAGTGCTACGGGAGGTGGGCAGAGGTAGGGCCTCATTGGTGAGCTGGGACTGTTAGCAAAGCCTCCTCTGACAGTCGCCATACGTCTACGTTCTGTTTGATGACAATAGAAAACAATTACACACAGCACAAGCAGGGCCGGCCTCTGGGGAAGAAAGAGTTAAAACAGGGACATTTTCACAGTGGTCTGTGACACACAAAGTGGACTGAAAAACTGAGTCTTGTACTAAAAAACTGAAGTGACCGTTCTACTACATAGCTTAGTTCCACTCCAGACTTTATGAATCAAATAATGCTGGTTCAACTGAAGAAGACTGGCCAAGGAGAGTAGCTACTTCATATACTATGCATCATAAAAAGGTCACACACAAAAAAACTAAAAATATAATTTCCTAGAATCAAGAGCTCAAGACCGCTGTTCAGAGCAGAGCTACAACGGGACGCGAGCGAGCGGAGTTTGTTGCACAAAAATATGGATTTATAGAAGACCAATGAATTTCAAAATAATATCCGACCTGATGTTAGCTTAGGACGAGCCCTTTTTGGTTAACATTGAGGTCTATGGCTAAATGTCCTTAACAGCACATGTGAATTTGAGCTGCAGTATCGCTGCCCTTTGTTAATGCTGGAGACGAAATTATGCAAGCAATACCCAATACATGTTCAGCACAAGTTTGTGAGTTAAATATCTGACCCAAACTGTGGTCAACCTATTTTTGTCAAATTAATGCAGCACCAGAACGTGATACCATTATGATCGACCCTCATAGTTACCAGGATAAACATGTTGTATTCATAAAGAAACATTAAGTTCACATGTAAACTACCTCTGGCTTTTCCCGATGTGTGTCCACAGCCTCCACGTTTAAGGAGATAGACTCAACTTTACAACCTAAAAAAAAGAAAGAAAAAAAAAGAAAAATTATGTGTAACAATGAAAATCAAAGAAGAACTGAACGACCAAATAAACTCTACTCATACCATAGGCCACAGGAGTCAGCTTGAGCACAGTATGTAACGGGCACTTGAGGTACGGCAGTTCTTCTGCGAAAACATTCACTTAACCTTTAGAAACAATCAAAACTGCTCCACACAATATTAAAACCCTGTAAATTACATTATGGTCACTTTGTAATTGCTCCATCATGCTACAGTTGGAGATTTTAAGACTTCTTTCCTAATTATGCTAAAGATAGAAATTTTACACTGCTTATTTTTACATTAGAGTTGAGAGATTTTATTTTATTTTAGTATAGAGTTATTATTAATTTATCGTGTGCTGTGTGTTCTGTAACTTGTGATGCAACACTGAAATTTCCCCACTGTGGACTAATAACGGATCTCTTAGTCTTAAACTATAGCATTGTCATGAGGGACCTGCAGGCTTGTCCAGGAAGTAGGCCAACAGGCAGCGCAGCACGGCCTGGTGGCAGACGACCAGAACATTCTCCTGCCGCTCCAGCTCCATGATGACCGGCTCCAACCGCTGCACCAGGTCCTCATACGACTACATAGAAATAAACATCTTACTGTTACTGAAAAATGTTGGTTAATATAACAGATGTGAATTATGACCAAGGCAAGCGTTTTGTCAAAGCACATCAAACAGTAGAATATATGTGTTCTGCTCTCACCTCTCCCTTTGGGTAGCGATAGCGATACTTGTCCTGGTCTCTCAAAGCAAACTCCAGAGGGTAGTTCTCCTGGATTTCCTCGTACATCAACTCCTCACAAACACCCTTGAATGACATGTTTATACAGGGTTCAAAAGTATGCACAATTTCTACATCATGGACATTTATCATCATTTATGGACATTGGTCATCTGCCCCTTATGTGTTTTATTGTTGCATTTCTTGTGCTGAACGGTTGATTCTCTGATCTGTGTTGGACAATTCAACGGTTTTTTTACGTCCCCCGAGATAACTACTGTTGAATTGAGCACCCGAAAAACTTCAAATCCACACTCAAGGCGTATCTGTTTAGACAAGCCTATTCACTATCACCATAACTACACAATGTTATGTTCCTGCTGCTTTTAACTTTGGATTTAAACTGTATTTTAAATGTTTTACTTGTAATGTAAAGTGACCTTGGATGTCAAGAAAGTCGCCTAAGAAATAAAATGTATTATTATTAATTTTGATTGTTTTCAATGGTCATTCCAATATAGTCAAACCAGATAGTTAATCACTCACTGCATCAATTTCATTTAGGACTTTCCACTGTTCGTAGGGGACATTCAGCGCCTCTGCAGTCTGGATCGTCCTCTTCATCTGACTGGTCCAAACCTTCAGGTCGCTGATTCCCTGGGCCTGGATGAAGTGGCTCAGCTTCTTTGCAAACTACAGGATACAAACACAATCTGTGACTATGACATTTGTGTGGAGACATTAGTACCACTGTGTGTGAATGGTGGATGTGTGAATGGTGCGTACCTCTTTGCCTCTGACAGTGAGACCTGAGTCTCCTCCGATGCAGCCCTTGACGTTGAGCTCACTCTCACCATGACGACACAGATAAATAGATCTCGGAGTGATGTGAATGTTCATGAGGTAGTACACGATCCTGCTCTGGATGTGGTCCAACACACGGTTCACCAGGTAACGCTGGCCGACGTCTATGATCTTAATGTAGGAGAGGTCCCTGAAAGGAGGTCATCACATTGTTAAGGTACGTTCACACCGGACTTAAAGACCTTATGACGGGTTTTTTTAAAAAAAATAGTGGATATCAAAATTGCATGACAATGTCAATTTGAAAGAGATTCCGGAAAAAAAAATGTTATATTTTATAAAAAGAACGTGTTTTTCATGAATTTAAGTTGTTTATGCTCTAACCTGTGTGTGACGTCATAGCGGGTTACGCCCATGCATTGAAAACCATGGATCTATGCCACAGGACTGCCTTTTCTCTCTTCTCTCCACTGATGCCCAAGACAATACTGCACTCTACAGGTGACAATTGCTCACTACACATAAATTGCCGTTTTGAGTGTGAAAAAATGTCCGAGGTGGGATTTGAAACCCAAGTATCTGGATTGACAGTCCATCGACACAACCACTGGACTATCTCAGTGACAACGAAATGTTACATTCTAGTAGTTATCTTAGACTCGCTGTACACGGCCCTGTCATCTTGAATATCCGCAAAAAAAGAACGAATACCAAATTGTAAACAACTTACAGCGTTGAAACGTACCCGTTCTGACGTCACCAAGGGCTGTGAAGTTTTTTCGTTTCTAAGGGCGTTGCTATGGGGTTATTTCGATTTGGGGGGGATCAGACAAAAAAAACAACTGATTTTGAAACCTTTAGTAGTTCTCTTCTAATATAAAATGGTATTAAAACTGTATTTCTAAATAAATCAAACCCGTCATAAGGTCTTTAACTTTGACTTAAAAAGCGTCAGGTTTGCATTGAAAGTGAAAGGTGACGCGCGTAACGCTCGCGTCTCTTTTGATGCCGAAGTTAAGCAAAGCTCAGCTTTTGGAGCTTTGACGCGGTCATTCGGTCATTACCCAAAGTTCATGACCATACTGAGGGAGGGAACGAAGATTGACCGGTAAATCGAGAGCTTTGCCTTTCGGCTCAGCTCCCTCTTCACCACAACGGTCCGATACAGAGACCGCATCACTGCGCACGCTGCACCGATCCGCCTGTCAATCTCACGCTCCATCCTTCCCTCACTCGTGAACAAGACCCCGAGATACTTGAACTCCTCCACTTGAGGCAGGACCTCTCCACCCACCTGAAGAGAGCAAGGCACCTTATTCCGGTCGAGCACCATGGCCTCGGATTTGGAAGTGCTGATTCTCATCCCAGCCGCTTCACACTCGGCTGCAAACCGCTCCAGTGCATGCTGCAGGTCCTGGTTCGTTGGAGCCAACAGGACAACATCGTCCGCAAACAGCAGAGATGAAATCCTGTGGTCCCCGAACCGGACCCCCTCCGGCCCCTGGCTGCGCCTAGAAATTCTGTCCATGAATACAGTGAACAGAACCGGTGACAAAGGGCAGCCCTGGCGGAGGCCAACATGCACCGGGAACAGGTCTGACTTACTGCCGGCAATGCGAACACAGCTCTGGCTCCGGTCATACAGGGGCCGAACAGCCCTCAGCAGAGGACCCCGGACTCCCGGAGAACCCCCCAAAGAACACCCCGGGGAACACGGTCGAACGCCTTCTCCAAATCCACAAAGCACATGTGGACAGGTTGGGCGAACTCCCATGAACCCTCGAGTATCCGATGGAGAGTATAGGGCTGGGCCAGTGTTCCGCGGCCTGGACGAAAACCACACTGCTCCTCCTGAATCCGAGATTCGACCATCGGCCGTAGCCTCCTCTCCAGTACCTTGGAGTAAACCTTACCAGGGAGGCTGAGGAGTGTGATCCCACGATAATTGGAACACACCCTCCGGTCCCCCTTCTTATAGAGAGGGGCCACCACCCCGGTCTGCCACTCCATTGGCACCGTCCCCGATCGCCACGCGATGTTGCAGAGACGTGTCAGCCAAGACAGTCCCACAACATCCAGAGACTTTAGATAGTCAGGACGAATCTCATCCACTCCCGGCGCCTTGCCACCAAGGAGGCTGCCAACCACCTTGGTGACCTCCGCCAGGGAGATGGAAGTATCCGCCCCAACATCTTCAGCCTCTGCCTCCGGGACGGAGGACGTGACGGGGGGGGGGGGGTTGAGGAGAACCTCGAAGTATTCCTTCCACCACCGCCCGACAATATCCCCAATCGAGGTCAGCAGCCCTCCGCCCGCACCGTACACGGTGTTGGCAAAAAATTGCTTCCCCCTCCTGAGGCGCCGGACGGTTTGCCAGAATCTCTTCGAGGCCGACCGATAGTCCTGCTCCAGTGAGTCTCCAAACTCCTCCCAGACCCGGGTTTTTGCCTCTGCAACAACCCGGGCCGCGGCCCGCTTGGCCTGCCGGTACTGGACAGCTGCCTCAGGAGTCCCCCGAACCATCATGGCTCGATAGGACTCCTTCTTCAGCCTGACGGCATCCCTTACTGCCGGTGTCCACCACCGGGTTCGGGGGTTGCCACCGGGACCAGCACCAGAGACCTTGCGACCACAGCTACGAGCTGCCGCATCGGCGATAGAGGAAGAGAACATGGTCCACTCAGACTCAATGTCCCCCTCCTCTGCCAGGACCTGGGAGAAGCTCTCCCGGAGGTGTGAGTTGAAAGTCCGTCTGACAGGGGGCTCAGCGAGACGTTCCCAGCAGACCCTCACTACACGCTTGGGTCTGCCAGGTCTGACCGGCCTCCTGCCCTGCCAGCGGATCCAACTCACAACCAGGTGGTGATCGGTTGACAGCTCCGCCCCTCTCTTCACCCGAGTGTCCGAGACATGCGGTCGAAGGTCAGATGATACGACAACAAAGTCGATCATCGACCTCCGGCCTAGGGTGTCCTGGTGCCACGTGCACTGGTGGACACCCTTGTGCTCGAACATGGTGTTCGTGATGGACAAACTGTGACAAGCACAGAAGTCCAACAACTGAAAACCGCTCGGGTTCAGATCAGCGGGGCCGTTCTTTCCTATCACCCCTCTCCAACTGTCACTGGCATTTCCCACATGGGCGTTGAAGTCCCCCAGGAGAATAACGGAGTCCCCGGGCGGTGCACCGTCCAGTACACCTCCCAAGGACTCCGGGTACTCTACACCGCTGTTAGGCCCGTAGGCCGTCACAACCGTGAGAGACTTGTCCCCAACCCGAAGGCGGAGGGACGCGACCCTCTCATTCACCGGGGAGAACTCCAACACGTGGCGGCTGAGATGGGGGGCAATGAGTATGGCCACCCCAGCTCGCCGCCTCTCCCCGCGAGAGACACCAGAAAAGTGGAGCATCCAACCCCTCTCAAGGAGTTGGGTTCCAGAACCCAAGCTGTGTGTGGAGGTGAGGCCGACTATCTCTAGTCGGTATCGCTCGACCTCCCCCACGAGCTCTGGCTCCTTCCCCCCCAGCGAGGTGACGTTCCACGTCCCAAGAGCCAGATGTTGTGTGTGCGGACTGGGTCGCCGAGGTCTCCGCCTTCAGCTGCTGCCCAGTCCTCTCAGCACCGTTGTTCTTGTTCTTAATAAGTACGTAACATAATCATTGTACAAATGTTGTGAAGTATAAGTAATTTATTTCATATAAGAAGAAGCTGACGATGAGTCTGGCTCAGAGCGAGAGCGAGGCAGCTCCAGGCAGGCAGAGGGGAGTGAGAGGCGAGGAGAGGCGAGGCGAGAGAGAGGGGAGCTCCGGGTTGCGGGTACTCAAACTGGGCGAGTGACTTGGGGAAGTACCGCTGAAAGCGACTCATTCGTACGCAGCTCCTGGAGTAAATGACGAAACTCAGCACACACTGCAGCCTCTCAAGTCTGTGGTGAACCCATAATATGTTTTGTAGAAACCCCACGACAACGTTGTTTGGCTTTATAAAACAAATAAAGGCTCGCTGCTCTCGGGAAAATCCACCGTTGTCTTGACTACTGGCAACAGAGAAGCTCCTCCCACCGGCGTCAGGCGCGTCTTGAGCTTCAAGCACCAAGGCGTTCACACCGGACCCAGCGTCAAACAAAGCATGTCAAAAGCTTTTTGAAGCTTTTGGTCTCGAACGCGCCTTTTAGAAATCTCAAAAACACATTCAATTTACGAAGGCATTTCCTTAAAGCTGAGGTACCCAAATTTTCTCATTTCATAAATCACACATTGTGTTTGTTCCAAATGAAAATACGTAAAAAGTGTCAACCTGCTGTCTGCATCTTTTAGAAAACATGTTATCTCATGCATGCTTGTTAGAAAAAGCCCTTTGAGGCTTTGGGCCGAGAGTGAGGGTGGTCCTATCCACGAACAGTGGAAAGTCCTAAATTAAATTGATGCAGTGAGTGATTAACTATCTGGTTTGACTATATTGGAATGACTATTGAAAACAATCAAAATTAATAATGATAATACATTTTATTTCTTAAGCGACTTTCTTGACATCCAAGGTCACTTTACATTACAATTAAAACATTAAAAATACAGTTTAAATCCAAAGTTAAAAGCAGCATGAACATAACTGCCGGGCGACGTCACTGGTCTCATTTTAGTGCTGTCCATGGTGGTTTTTGGACCGCTCTTCGTCTGACTCGTCACCTGAGACCTGTCTGCCATGGGAGACCCTACCAGGGGCATGAAGCCCCAGACAGCATAGCTCCCAGGATCACCAGAGTACTCAAACTCCCCCACCACGTTAAGGTGGCAGTCCAGGGGGGAGTTTATTTGTTTGTTTTTGTTTTTTTGTTTATTTACTTTTTTTGTGTTTGTTTTTTCCCCAGGATAGAGGATAAAATCCACTGATATTGATGATTGAGTTTAATGCATACATTATCTTTGTTTAATAATTTTTTTAAGTTTTTATTTTTATTTTTTCACTTTATTGATTGATCAAATTGAGTGATCACATGTGATTATGTGATCAAAGGGGTGAGTGTTAGTATTAGATAGCAATATGGCCTACGTGCAGGACTGTACAAGGACTGATTATTTTGACTATGATGTGACTGTCTCTGTGTGACACGTACGTCTTTCCATGTGTGACGTGACGATGACTATATAAACTGTGTACTGACTCCATTCTGTCTGAGAGAAAGAAACAATGGAAACCACTGGAACTTCAGAGAAACTTAAATAAACTTCCAGAGTTTGGCGCACCACGATCCGTCTCTGTCTGCTTCATCCCTGACAGTATGTTTCATACTTGTGTCAACCAAGGGCTCACATTTCCATGCGGTTCGGAAAAACACTAAAAATGTCCAAAATCTCTGGCAGTATGAGGGATGCTGCTTGTTATCCCCTGCTTGTGCTGTGTGGAGAGGTACAGTCTATGGTGGAGAGTGATGTGCTGAGCCGTAGTGATGGGTCGTGCCGCGCCGGCGCTTCGGGGCGTGAGCCGAGAAATCCCTGAAGTTTTTATCTGAGCGCGGGCCGAAGCCTGAGTTGTTTTAGATGAGTGACGTCACTAATGACGTTTGAAGCCTCGGGAGCACAGGATATGGAGCGATTCATGAAGTACTGCAGAAGATCCGCTCAAACTGTGTGTTTGTCTTGGTGATTAATGTAGTCAGTGATGGAGAGGGTTGTGGTATCAGCTGGTTGGCTCAATTGATAGGGAAGTAGGGCTCGGACCTCGGCTGCCGAGAATAGTTTACCTAAACAGAGCTAAACCATTTTCAACGGTAGTCAATGGGTAAAAGTTTCATGCGTCACTTCCGGTGCCAGCGGAAGTGACGTGTGCGCGCTGCTCTAAAACGGAGAGAGCCGGCTTTCTCCATTCATTGTGGATTACACACGCACTCGGTAAGTCTCCTCTGATAAACACAATGTTTTTGTGCTCGTTCTTTATGTTTCACTCCATAAATCTCTCATATTGTGCGTAGATCGTTCACACACGTCTGTAGTTTATATCTCGAGTGTGTAGTGCGCTGTTTATGATTGTTTACCTCCGTGTCATATGTTTGTTGCTGCTGCTGCTGCTGCTGCTCGTAGATCTCTCTGTTTGGATCAATATTGTAAAGAAAACACTTTCTCTGCGTTGTCAAACAATCTGTATTCACTGTATTCTACTGTATACAGTAATGCAGTTT